GAAATGAGCGTCCTGCTTTGTGCAAGTGCGGTGAGCCGGCGGACCAAATATTTCAGATTCTGACTGGGGCATAGTAGGCTAATAAGGGGAATATGCTTTATAGGGATTACGTAGGGATTATGTTCCCTTATTCCCTCTAACCACCCACAAGAATTCCAGATGGTTTGAGCAGGTTATACGAGGACAGCCCTAGCTCTAGACACTCGTGGCTGCATCTTGGTGTCCATACACCCATTCAGCAGATATGTCAGCGTGTAGCAGTTTTGCTTGCCTCACAGCAGTAATTGACGTGAATGAAAGCAAACCTGCCAAGCGCTGAGTACGCAACTGAACAATTCTGCCGCGGTCTTGAGCAGCTGTTTCAATGGCTTCACGCTTTCATAGGTTTGCCTTCATTCCTGTTCCCAGACGCATGGTTGCCAAAGCTTCCAAGCGCTCAATGCATGTAGCTGCGCCAGACAAGAGTGCAAGCCTTCTCAAACTTAAGCTCCTGTCTGTGCACATGACTAGCAAAGCATTGTGCCAATGTCTTTCTTCTTGAGCTGCTTGCATACTGCTGATCACTCAGTTGTGTTTTGGCCCCGTCTGCTGCTTGAAGCCTCTGCAGGGCGCGGTTTTTATGTGCATATTTCTCGCTCTCAAGGCTTGCCTCGAGTCTTCCGCTTCGCAAGTGTGTCAAAGAGAAGCACACGGGGCACAGAGATGATGCTGGTTCAACTTAGTGAACGAACTCTGTTCTACGCAAACTTTGTTTTGAGGTTCTACGCACTTTTTTTTTGTTGAGGCAATGTGCAGTCATTGACAACAGGCTGAAAATGCGCCACTCTGTTCCCCAGTGGCTTCTTGGATAGTAGGCGAGACCCAAACGACCCCTGGTACGGATGGCGGATGTCTCACACTGTTGCGATCCTGCACTAGCAGATGCCTTCAGCCCAGCAGCCACTTGCTGCTAACCTGAAGCTATCACACGTCAAGCGCCTGCTACCCATTCCGTCTGTCCCAGGGGCGCTAGGCCAATCCATTCCCATGGCATGTTTGTCGTTGTACTCTTTCAGATCCCCACGTGTATTGTCAGCCTGAAGATGAAACCAAATCGGGCGAGCATGTCATCATGCATGCTGGCAATGCTGGGCCCTTTCAAAGGCTGAGTATCGCTTTAGTTGAATCACACGGAATCGAAGTGCTTAAGATCAGCTTCAAAGTTAGTCTTAATGATTTAGACAGATTCAATAGGCCAGGTGCCAGCGAGCACTGACTCCCCAAGCTGCACAGGCCCCAACATTACCAAGGACCAAGATTAGACTGAGGCAGGTGGGCCTGAAGTGGACCACTTGTCTACATGCATGAAGCGTCTGGCTGCTCTGTCCTGCGGCCTTTTGAAGGGCAGCAGACCAACGAGGTCACAGGCAGAAGCGTTTCCGATCTATTCTCATCATGTTTCCTTGCGTGACTTTAGCTCTCATTAGGTGACTTTGAACTTAGCAGCTTCTCAGAATGCGGTTTCTTTTCAGGGTAACTTAAAGTGCTATGGAATCGAACAGTATTCTTTTGGCTGATCTTGCTGGTGGCTGAAAAATGCTGATGGGCTCATAATATATGTGTGCCTGTCTGCAGCTATGTAGGTATGTAGGTAAGTGAGTAAGTAGGAAGTAATTACGTATGTGTGTATAGACAGATACACACACAAATGGGAGGACCTTTTTCTGTGTTCTGGTGGATCTAGGTTTGCTTGTAAGCCTGTTGGTTTGCAGTGTTTATTGCCCAGAGCTGCATACCGCCAGTTGAGCTTGTTTGGCAACCTTGGCTCAGAACTAGAACTAGAACGCCCCGCTCGAATGGTGCTGATGCAACTTGTCTCAACCGGCCTCAACGACCGTGCAAGGAGGAAAACATAGAAGATAACATGCCGGGCTGCCAAACATCCTCTCTGGAAGCTACAAGAGCAAGGATGCAAGATTGCCGGCGTTGGCTTCAATTGTTTCAATCGGGCAGAGGTGAACCAAGATTTCCAACTAATGTGGACTGGGGATGAGCACACCTCTGTTGCGTAAGGATCGATACATACGCTGTAGGTCCCGTGTATGTATCAACGCACATATGGGCCCTTCTGGAGGGACAATAGTCTTGAAACCACTGGTCTACACTGCCAGTCCTGCAAGTCAAAGGGAAGCAGCATGCCGAACACGTAAGAGCGCCCATTGGCGCTCATACCAGCCAAATCACTGGTTCACGAGGCTGCGCGGTACGGACCGCAATTGAATCCACTCCTGGCAACGAAAAGTCAGACAATGTGGCAGAGTTCCTGGCGTTTGTTGCCATTTCATGCCTTCGCGATTGGTCGGTGCCAGCTCGCGGCTTGCTCAAAGGTCAAACAGACCTGGCTGCGAAAATTTGCTGGCATCGATTTTTGGAATGCCGAAGATGCCTTCATCAATAATCCTTCCAGACTACTAGGCTCCCAATATGCGCTGTGGTGAACAGCCACGCGCTCTGGATGGGACTGATAGGTTGTTTTGGGTGCCCAGCCCAGGGAGTCATGGGTGCGGAGGCAGATTCAACACCACACAGATCTGCAGGGCGGCAGTTGCAATGCTGTCTGGAAGTAGGTTGTGATGAGCACATATGTGTGACATTGTGTTGAATCTGCGTTCGGAGCCATGCCCGAAACCAACGCACCGGCATGTTCCCTCCAAAAGGAGAAAAGGCACGCATTCGGCAACAGCAGACCTCAGACATTTCAGCAAGCCAGCGACCACCAGATTCAGGATTCGCCTCCTGCCCTGCCTCCCATATCCTCCCGCGAAAGGCCTGGATGTGACAGGCGATGGGGCCGTCATGGCTTTAGGCCAGACTGTCCAGCTCTCAGCTGAGCCCGCTACTCACTAGCAGGGGCTGACCCGTCGTGGCTTCCACGCACGTATGCCTGTCATGTCTATCATGGGCAACACGATGGCTATTGTACCTGTCTTTCCCTGGCCAGTCAGTTTGAACAGGCCAAGAAGAGCAGTGCAGATGGGAAACAGCGGCATCCTTGGACATGCCGAGACAAGGGACAGGTGTAAATGCGCATTTTGTTTTACAGGTAGATGCCTTGCCTATCACATTACTTTAGTCGCCAATCGGCAAGAGCATAATCGCATGCTTGTACCTGCAAAGCAGAGGTGGAGACTTGATAGATGCCTCCTGACAGGTGGTGTCGCCTGGAGTCCTTTCTGAAGCCGATTGGATGCATCAGTTTCAGACTGCTGCTCTCGGCATGACTGTCATGGCTGCAAGCCAGGAATCAACGAAACCGCTCTGGGAGTTATCAAAGGAAAAGGGATACATGATATGTTACGGACCAAGGACGCTCGAAGCAACAAAGACAAACACCGAGGCGAATGCACGCTTGTTTGTCGCACTGGCTTTAGTTGGCAGCGATCAGGCAGACCGACCGGTCTTCGTATACATGTTGGGTACTTGTGGAGTTACGCTGTCCCTCTTTTGTTCCTTCAGAGCATGTGGCCACTTCCGTTTGAACAAAGAAAGCAGGCCTCGGCTTCACGGCCGGCCGAAAATGGTACGGGCCTAGAATTTGCGGTGATGTACAGTAAGGTCATATCAGGGTTGACCCGGGTTGCCTTGCCCCCGGCAAAGGTACCAGCCTGGAAGCTGAACTTGCCGCAGACTTGGTATGCTATAGATTCTGGCCGCCTCGCTTGTTGGCAGTTCAACAACGTCCAATAGCTCATTTTCAGACATCGAGAGGCTGCTGAGGATTTGAACATGCAAATCTGGCACGGAGGTCTCACCCGACTGCGGCTTTTCGCTGCACATTGAGCTTGAGAAGGTTGGAGGATTCAGAGCGGGAAGGGCTGCTGTCAATCTGCGTGTTGTGAAAATTAGCTGCTGCTTGCAAGGAAGAGGTATTTGAGGATTCCAAAACACAAAACCATGCAAACTGAGGCAAGCTCTTGCAGCTTGAGGCCAAATATTTCCTTCTGAGCTATAAGAAAGCTGTGAGGTCTGTTGAGGATTCCATCTACCCCAAGAGAGCGTCTCTGGGGGAGTTTGGATAGGGAGAGACCATGAGAAGCATGAGAAGCCATGCGCTGGATCCTAAACTAGAGGTCCATATGACCAGATCCAGCAGTTCAGCTGGATGAACCCGAGGCTCAAGTTTAAGATCGTCTCTGAGAGCTGGCAGCACCTCCGCTCCAATGCTGACTCTGGCGCGTGTCGATGGTAGCATCCAGAGGTTGACAGGCGCTGCCTAGGCAGAACTTGGTACGTGGTGAGACTAGGGCTCGTCTTCCGCGCCGACATTTCCTGTTCTCGCGTCTCTCCTTTTTCGTTGCTCAGCGATGCTCGGTGTTGGTGAATCTGCCTCGAACAGTTCCGTTGAGGAGAGTTCTGGTGTCTTACCCATACGCTTCCCAAATTTCGACCTGCCGAGTGCCTCATCGGTGGTGAGAATTTTGTTTGCTTTGGGTAGCCAAAATCATCGAAATCTGTGACAATCCTGGGGCGCTCCTCTCGTGTCTTAGCAGAAAATGTGGCAGCAAAATGTATACTGCTTTAAAGAACATGCAAGCAGTTGCATGGCTTGGATGCGCAGCAGTCTGGAGACTTGAGACTGAACACGGCACGGCAGAGATAAACTGCATTCATCGCGGCATGCCAGGTGGATCTTGAGTATCTCGGCAAGAAGGCCTTGCACTCAACAGCTCGCATTACACCATGCAATTTTAGAGAAAATGGCGTGCAAAGACGTTGAACATGCAAGGCGGATGAGACGGTTCCAGTCATGTTCTCGCATTTCTTTGGCACCTGTTGTTGGGAGTGGCTTTTGCAGGTCGTGAACTATGCAGTCTGCCCCTCGTGGCCAGTTGTGGTTTGCGGTATCCGCAAGTTTGTCAGATATTGGATTTTCAGTGTTGGCCAAATTCGCAGCAGCAAGATCTAGACGCTTCACTTCCTTGCAGAGGCGTGCAAAATCCCAACCGCAACTTCAGGTTCTCATGAACACGCTCACCTTGGTGCAGCTTCGCGGGTTCCTATCCCAGATGCGGCACCACGAGGAGAGCCTGTTTTGCAAAACGTGGAAAGATAATGATGTCTTGCTGCTTCAGACGTGTGGCTTTCCACGTTGATATTCTTTGCAAGGAAAATTTAGACTGCCCGTGTCAGAGCAGGGCTGTTGAACACTCCACAGTCAATCAGGGAAAGGATCCATGTTAAGTCTCTGGGCCAGGAGGAGCACGCTTCAGTGACGAAGCTCTCTGTCGTGGGGATTGCCATGCAGGCTAAAGCCGTGTGTGATAAGCCATTCGAGCCTTCCAGTGATTCAGAGCTATTGCGAGCCCACGTGTCCTTCATGATTCAAGCTCATCAGGTGTTGCTAAGTGGCCACAGAACCCGACCATTTTTTATTGTTCCTCGCACCATGTGCGCACCCAAACCGCATTCTTCGAACAGGCTCTGATGGATGCATTTGATTCCTTCCTCCACCTGAGTGTGGCCGCGCCGGTGCAGGCTGCAGCAATGCGGCTTGCTTTGCTCTTTATGACGGTGAAATCTTTAAGATGCCTTTTGCAGAAAGAGCAAGGTTTCAGGCTTCGAGGCAAGGTATAATAATCTACAACTTCTTGTCGCACAAGCTGTGAACGTATATGATGACATGGCTCTAAGAGCTATGGAATGCTTGATGGCCGGCAAGCTCAGCAGGCGCTCAACACCTACAACTTCGCGGTCGTGTCAATGCTGAAATTTTCATTGTTCGCCCTGGTGGAGGCAAGAGTTGCAAGAGCGTTTCAAAGAGGGTTGCTTGGGAAGACATGGAACTTCTTGGAGATCACTTGCTCACACATGGCGCATGAAAGCCGAGCACAACTGCCAGCTCGCACCGCTTCTGCAATTTGGTCAGAACGGTAGGAGCCCATCAAAAGCAGGTGCGGTATCTTCTGCTGATCTGGAGGCGCTTCTGCCTTGCAGCATGTTGCAATGTAGGTATGTGTTGCCTGCTTCCTTGAATCTGAACCCTGGCTGAATCTGGCCCAGCGACGGGACGATATGCTGAATACCTAAGCCTTGCGATGTGTCAGGCATCATCACCAGCATGTCTTTGCAGAAGGCCGAGCTGGCCAGTTGGAATCCCTTTGCTCTGATCTTTCCACGTTCTGCCATGATTTTTAAGCAAATTCGACAACTGGGGGCATCATCAAAGGTCTGTGACGGACCACAGGTGTTGCAATACTGCCGCGGAGTCATCTGAATATGTTACTAAGAAAGAAATCAAACGCTGACAAAAACATGTAATTCTTGAAAGCATCATTGCAAGGTTTATGACGCACCATGGGTGCTACGCTGCTGCAGTTGTCTGAAGTCGAACTACTGCTGATACCAAAAGTTCCGCATGGCTCCCAGGTACTACCAACTACCCTGGCAACAATTCTAGTTTAGTAGTCATGAATTTTAGTATCCACCGTAGTCTTGCAGAAGCTTTGCGGGTGAAATCTGTTAATCGCTTTTAGTTTGAAATAAGAAGGCCTACTCAATGCTTTTTTAGTTTTCTTAGGCTTTTTAAACGTAGAAAGTACTACTGCATAAGCAATGCTGTTTAGCCAGACGCCCTTGTCACCTCTACTTTAGCATGGCTCGTCGATTGAGAATCGTGAATTATTCTAATATGCAATCCGATGTGTTTGTTGTGCCTGTGAGCCGGCGGGCCCTTGGGCCGGCGGGCCCTTGGGCCGTGTGACCACTCGTGGGCAGCGGGCCCCGTGGGCATGCCTGCAGACGGTGGCAGGGGAGCTGGTGCGCCCGCGACCCCGTGCACGATACCTGAGGCCGTTCCCTTCCGTTCCCCAACAAATGCAAAGACCAGTTCACGCCAGAGCAGGAAGGCTTGGATACAGCAGCAGGCTGTCTTTGCATAGCTGTTGCTGGGAAATCTAGCTCCGGCACAAGCTCCGTTTGGAAACTTGTTCTTCGGAATCATGAATGCCAGGTTGGGAGACAGTGCGGCAAGAGCTGTCGCGCGTGCGCTCCACAGTCTGATATTTTATGCTGCCAGCTATCGCCCTGAATTCTTGGATATGCTCGTTAAGTTGAAGTCCTGAAGCTTGCACCCGCGCAAAAAGGCAACCAAGACCAGAGTCTAACAAGCCTTTCGAGATGTTTTTGCAGGTCTACGCGCAGTTTTACGGCGCATTGATTGGAGGACTTGTTTTTGCCGACGCCTAAGCAGCTGTGTGCCTGCTGCCATGTCTCAGCTGTGCCACTTGTCGTTACAGCTGTCAGCACTTCCACCTGCAGTCAACCTAATTAGTTCCACATGCCGCTTCCTGCCGCAAATCTTTGGCCCAACTAAGATTTTCGTGGCCTCAGACTACTTGGACATTGTGGCTCTGGTGATGCAGGTTGCTGCATGGGCAGATGTCAAGCGAGTTACTGTCGGACCCATCGAAGCTCGATGCAGGCATACTGGCTGCCACAAATAATCCATGATGCCCTGGACTGAGACCTCTGCTTCACCCCCTGGGCACCAAGCAAAATCAAAACATTATTTTTGTCCGTCTGAGGTGAGGCATGGGTCTAAGAACTCCTTCACGCCACTCGGCTGCAAGAGTGCCCCTTTGACTCAGAGGCATTGCCAAGAATTGTAAAGCAGTGGTCTTCAGGCGGCGCTTCGTCATCACCATCACAGTCGGAGCCTTAGGTTTGCTTCCAGACCTTGGTAGGCTTGGAGAGGCAGATGGACGGCCATGCATGAGCAAGTGTGGAGCATGCCGGATCTTCAGAATTGCTTGAACGAAGGTGACTCGTACATTGGAGTTCCTCTACCTTTGGGGGTGCCCTGCAGGCCATGATTGCCCATTTTTCATCAGCTTCATGAACTTGGGCTTTAGCTCACTGTTAGCCCTGGAGGCTTGACAGGAGCTGCTGAAGCACAGATTTAATTGATCTCCTGCAAGGCATCTTCAATGGCGACATCTACCCACAGCTACCCGGTGCTCAGTCGCCTGGATTCTCAGGGAGCTGTCAGGCTGTTCCGAGCATCACCGATCCAGTAGTCATTCCAGCGTGAAAAGACTTGTTTACACTCTGCCTTCTAATGTCAATGTCAAGAGTAGACAAAAGCCGAGGCTTGAGCTCTGCGCTGCTGCCCTGTGTCTGCAAGCAGCACAGGCAGAGCTGGACATGCTGCTGACTAAAGGAAATGTTGACCTTCTTCACGGTAGTCTTGATTCATGATCTGAAGCAGATCTATTGCATCAGACAAGTTAGACAGGAGCTGGGTCGAGAGAAGATTGCGTGAGATGTCAGATCCATCCGGATTTAGAAAACTGAACTGGCATCCTTTGTGCCAGCGCATGTGCTGGCTGTTTCCTGCAAGCGAGCTGGGCAGCAGGTGGCAGTGATGCTCTCGCAGCAGCGGCTAGGGCCCAGGCATCCCAGCGTTGCTTTGTGCACATACTGGTATCAGCACTGTACTGACTGCAAAGCTGGTTCACATTGAGCATTTCATGGGACGGCAAGACCGGCAACCCAACGCAGTGGCCGCAAGCCCGAAACAAAGCCGCAGTGCCCGCTTTTTTCGGCAGCTGCGAGCTTGTTTTGTCTAGCAGCGCGCGAGCTGGAGATGTGGGCAGGTGGTTTGTACCGTGGATTTGCCTGCCTGACGTGTACAACTACCGTCGAACGGCACAGGCCACCGTCTTTGTCTTTTGTCCTTGTGTACAAGTCTAGGCAGCCTGGTTTTAGTGGGCTGGTTTTGACGGTAATCTTTACGTAGCTATGTGAGGCAGTGGCAGGATCCGAATGCGTCATCTGCATGCTGGAAATCACCCCGGAGGAGCTCAGTCGTGCAGAGCACTAGAACGTAGACATGCGTAGACTTCAGTTCGTAGGAATGGCTGCTTGGTGTACAGGTGACAGAAGCTTGCTCTGGGCTTTCTGGGCTTGAGGCCCAGCACTGATCTTCCTCTTCTTGTCTGCTGCGGCAGGATGGCTTCCACATCGTCACTACGCCTTGTGACCACCGATTTCATGACTCCTGTCTGGAGAGGCTGGCAATGTTGCTTCTTCGGAATCCTGGCATACCATGAAAGCCTCACACACTGCACAGGTGGATGGATGTGAAGATGGAATGCCCCACTTGCCGGAGAAACCTGCCTCCCATGTGAGCCTTAGTGGAAAGCCTGGTCACCGAGAGGCGCCATGTCATGGCAGTCCAGGGCAAAGTCCCTGCCCCGCTGACCTGCAGCGCTGTCTGCATCAACAGAGCTGAGCTGTTCATGTTGTTTCCGCACTTCCTCTGCGGATCTGGAGAGCACGCAGGCAGTATCATGAATTAGGCACAAGCGCAGGGCCGCCTCGGGGATGGCAAAGCCCTACCTGTGTTGGCAGCCTGGGCCAGAGGACTCTTGGATGACTGCAGCCTTGGGATTCGCTTGGCAGCTGAAAGTTTGGCTCATGCGCCCGCACATGCTTCTTGAGAACAACGCGTAGGCAGATCGACAATCGGTTTTCATTTTGTCGGATAATGCAGAGCAGAAACAACTTCAAACAGACGTCTCTGGACTTGATAAGACTACCTTGCATCCCAGCCTGTTGTTTGCAAAGCAATGGGACTCCGCAGGCGCGACCGTTCCAACTCGGTATGTATGTCAGCAGTGTCTTATGGAAGCCGTACATCGAAAGAGTGAAAAGGCCAGAAGGCACACATCCTGACGTCTTAAACGGTGTTTTCAAGCAAGTTTTGCCAGTCCTGAATCAAATGCGCCTGTGTGATGGTCCGCTTGAGATCAGTCGTTGGCTCTTGTTGCGAGGTCACAGCGGGCAGGCATCCCTGCAAATGGTGAGAGGTTGAGACGAGAGTGATGACTGCTGTTCAGCTTGGAGACGACATCTCAGCAGAGTATTACGAGCCTAAAGCAGCTTGTCAAGAGAAGCAAGTTAGTTTGGCCATTCCAAGCCTTCTGCAATTTCTGAAGGCGGACTTCGAGGCCTTGGAGGCCTGCCTGTCGCCATACCCTGAGCTCTTTCTGGTGCTTTCTCGCCATGTTTGTGTTCCCAGTCGTCTGGCCGTCATCGCTTCCTGACATTTGCACTACCTGTCGTTGCAGCTCTAATCACTTAGTTTGGCCAAGGCAGCCAGCAATGTTGGCCGCGGCTGGGACCGGCTGCGGCAGCGCCTGCGCCGCCGTGTCGAGAAAGGCACCCGTGCACTCATCGCAGTCTAACAATATGTAAGCAATAGAGATGGCAAGTTGAACAAGTGAAGTGAGAGTGGAGGTGCTGCATTTGTTGTTGTGCTCAAGCAGAAATACTGTGCCATGCCGAGGTCAGTGGCCCGGCATTGCAGCGTGTGCCTTCATCAGAGGCAACCTAGCCTGGGAGTCTGCACCTTGCGCTGGCAGGACTCGGCAGTCGAGAGAGGCCCTACTTCCAAAGCTTGAATTAATTGCGTGGCAGGCAAGCTACAGATGATCGAAGAGACAGGTTATGTCTCAGCCTCATTTAATTTAACAGGAGATAGGACTAGTCGCGTAGCAGAGTCACTTCATTGTTTCTGAATGCTCCCCCTCTGTGGTTGACTGCATTCCTTGGTAGGGCTGTAGACTTCAAAAAGACAAGGATACCTTGTCACCGACCCCGACCATGAGCCGAAAGGGACACCACACCGACTTTCCACGCGAACGCAGCTCCGCAAAAGAATCAGGCCCTCATTACTGGACCACTTTGAGCTTGGGTGCTGGGATGTGCTAAGTCTGCTAAGCGCTGATGCCAGGAACAGTTTGTCTCATACAGAGTTCATAGCATACAGACATTGCCACATTGCTATTTCGACAAAGCTCATTTGGACATGGCCCGAAATGCCGCCAGACCCACCCCCTCGTCTTGACAATTTAACTGGTACAGGCGCCTGGTCTGGGGCCCATCAAGGCCCCTTTTTCCGACCCGCCCCCTTTCAAGCCCGGGGGTTGGTGCCCGGGGGGGCGGGGGTGGGGGGGAGGCAAATAACACATTTTGGGATCAGGGAGTGAGAGGCTTGAATTCCAAGCACACTGTTCAGCCAGGAAGGGTTTGTTACCAAGGTTGACCTTTTCCAACAAAGTAGCGAGCGCAAACAAATCTCAGCCCCAACAGTCCAAGGCTGACATGGAGGCCAAGGTCCCCATGAATCGCAAGTCCATCGTTCGGGCAGCGTGCTTGGTGCCTCTGTGCTACGCGGTAGCGAATTCGGCAGCTCACCCTGATAGAACCTGTAAAGCATGCTGAATGCCACGGGAACATTCATCAGCGTAGATCCAATGTTTGGCGTGCTGTTCTGATTTGCTCGCACGCCAGCCAGTACCGGCTCTTGGGAGGCAGTGTTGTGTTAAGAAGCCGACTGAGCCTTGCCAGAAGATGACAGCCAGGCAGAGGAGAGGAGCATGCTTTTTCATGGAGCTTCAACATCGTTAAATGGTAGCTAAGAGCAGAAGAGCAGTAGGTGCAAGTAATTTGCGGCCGCGGGGCTTTCCACCGCCATGCCGCAGCCTGAGGCTGAAAGGGTTCGCCAGGAGCCTGTCGCTGCGCAGCCGGGCACTGGCTTCCGGGATCTGGATGAGATGCGACGGTTGTTACAGCAACGGCAGGCTGCACAGCCTGCACAGCCCCGAGAGCATGTGGAACTGCCTCCAGCGACTGCGCCAGAGTTGCAGGAGCAGTTCGTGCGATTGACTCAGGAGAGGCGGGAGCTAAAGGATTACGCAGAGCGCGTGACTCGCGAGCTTCGCCGCTATCAGCATAGTAGACCTCCACCAGATGCCGGGCCAGAGGATGACTTGCCGCTTCCGCCCTGGGCTACCAACATGCAGATGATGTCGCCTCTTCTCTTTGCATATGAGGAACGTATCTCAGAGCTGGAGGCTGTGATTGAGCGGTCTGTGAGCATTGCCGAGCAAGCACAGCTGCTCGCTCAAGAGAATGACCAGCTCCGGGCCGAGCTTCACGAGCGCACAGAGCAGCTGCGAAATGTGCAGCTACTGGGATATGGGACTGGAGAAGCTGGGTTGGTGGACGCACAGGATCAGCACGAAGAGATTCAGGAGCTGTATCGGCTCAGTGTGGAGCAGAATGAAGCTTTAGCGCAACAGAACCAGCTGCTGAAACTGCAGCTGGAGCGCATGCAGCAGACGCTCGCGGCCGGACGACAACAGGCTCAAGAAGTCTACGCAAAGGCCAGCGAGAACACAAACGCTCTGGCTGAGGAAGTGCAGAGGGGCGAGACTTTGGCCCAGCAAAGAGCTATTGCAGAGCAGCGCCTGGAGGAAGTGACTTCGGAACTCGTTGATCAGGTCAGTAGGAGGGATGCCCTCGAGGCCGAGATGGAGTCCCTAAGGCACGAGCTTGAGGTGCAACGACAGACCAACGAGATCAACCAGAAATCTTTTCAGGAGAGATGTGCTTTGGCTCTTGATGAGGAGGAACGGCTCAAAGCCGACCTGGCCCGAACGCAAAAGCGCGAAGGCGAGTATCGCCGCCAGGCCCTGGAAGCCCGGAACGGCCTGGACGAAAGGGCAGAAGAGCTACACTTGACTCGGAAGGAGCTGGAAGCCACGAAGCAGGAAGCCCAACAGCTCCTGCAGACAGCAGACACCATGGATCGACAGCTGGTTGACATCCGACAAGCCCACGAGGAGACTGATTAGGCCATGTTGCGGTCATTGGTTTGTATCTCAGCCGTGTTATTTCTCTTGTGTAGTCGTTAGATCCACCAGTAGTTTCCCTTGTGGCAGTGCTGCTTTGTTTTTGTTGGCCTGAAGGAGAAGCTGGCCCAGCTGAAGGACCGCGAAGCCAGGCTGATGGAGCTGCAGATTGAGAAGGACCGTCTTAAGAGCACTGAGGAAGCCACCAAGAAGCAGGCCGATCGCTTAGAGGCACGTCTGCGAGATGAGATCAACACCATCAAGCGAGAGAAGGAGCAGGAACTTCAGACTCTGAGAAGCTCCCAGCAGAAAACGCTTGAAGACCTGCGCAAGAGGCTTCGCAACAGTGAGCAAACATCTTCGGAGGCTACGGCCAAAGCTGATCGGCTTGAAAAGCAGCAGGAGTGGCAGGCCTCAGCGCTTGAGAGGCAAAGCGCTTCCTACAAAGACGAGCACGACCGCCTCCAGAGCGACTACCAGGAGTCCCAGCAGGAGCGCAGGCGTCTGGAGCAGCAGCTGGTAGACGTCAACCAGCAGCTTGCAAAGCTGAGGAGCAGCATGGATACCGCTACCTCTGATGCAAAGGAGCAACTTGCCCGAGCAGCTGCAGACCAGGCAAGCCTTCAGTCCCAGAACCAGGCTGTTGAGCAGCGTCTAAGCCAGGTGCAGCAGGAGTTACAGGCAACCTCAGCAAGAGCCATGGCTGCTGAGGAAAGCCTTTCAAAAGTACAGCTTGAGCTGCAAGAGGCGCGCTTGAAGGCCAACAGCGAAATGGAGGCCACAAAGCGCCAAGCTGAGGCCGACTACCGGCGTCTCACCCGCCAAATGAAGGCCCTGCAGTCTCGAGCCCAAGATGAGGAGCACCGTGCCTCGCAGCTTCTCAGGGCACAAGAAGCACTGAGATTGCAATGGCAGTCCGAACTGGGCGTGGAGCGCGAGGAGCTGGAGTCCCAGTTGGACAGGCTGCGTCGAGAGAATGCTGCGATCCGCATCAGGGTCCGTGATGGCTTCCAAACACTCGTCTCCGGCCCCGAATTAGTTGCTCGCTCCCGTTAAGTGAAAATGCAACGCACATGACAAAAATCGGGCAAGGGGGCTGCACCTCTGCTTGCATTTTGTCGCTTGGAGATATGCTCTCTGCTTAGATTTATTCGATGTCAAAGTGCGTCGTGGCCGCTGCTGTGCTGCAGCTAGTGGAGGACCTGCTCATTGCATGCTCGTTCTAGTTGGATAGCATATATATTTTATATGACAGCTGTCTAGACGAAATCGGTTTCTAGTCCAAGAGCAGCGTGCATTGGTAGGAAGTGGTTGCATCCATCCTCTTTACAGGCTTCAAAGTTCCACTTCCTCAAGCCAGTGCAGCGTTGAGACTCGATGTCTAGGGCCAATCTACGAAGTAAGCAGCTGCCGTCTTTGAAAGATCTTCCAAGCTATTGGAATCCATGCAGGAGGGGCACCTGACTCTGGATGATGATCTGGCGAAGCACATCCCTGCCTTCAAGAATCCAAAGGTGCGCAGTTTAGATGCAGACGAATCCCTTGAGCATCCACGACTAACCCATGCAGCAAGCGCGAGAACTGAATTGCCGTGCTGACCTGGCTTTTGCTGCAAGGTTCTTGCGGAGCAAGCTGATGGCATGTGCTGGCCTTTGTTGGTTCTGCTACGTGCTGTGGTGGCTTTACTTCTTGCGTGTCTCTCAGTAATATTGTACTTGTAGCTGTGCGCACAATGCATGATCATGCGCGTCTTCAGTGGGCTTGCGCCAATCAACCCTTGCTGGACTCCTGTGTGTGCTTCGGTCGACCAGGCTTGTTCAAGACAACCATTTTGAACGTATGTCAGGTATCTGGCTTTTCCTCGCTTTACCGTAAGCCTTAAGCCCCAAACCCTTAATACACAGTAAGAGTTATGCAGGGGGAGTTTGTGTTCGTCCTTTTTGAATGTTAAACTGAGGCCAGACTTTGGGAGGCAAGCGCGAGTGCTTGTCCACCTCGTTCTCTTTAAGCTTGGTTGTAAAGGGTTTTTGAATGTTCTTGACTTGTCCTTGGCAGCAGGCTTGTTCCGAGTAGGCGCCCGATCACCATCCGGCACCTGCAAGATCCTGAGACTGGCCGCGGCATACGCAATTGGCAGCATTTTGTTTGAGCAAGCCTCTCCCAAGCCATGTTCCATGTACCGGAGTTTTTCCGATATGAGGCTTACCCACACTTCAGGGATCTCCTGCGGACTGGCACCAGTGCTCGATGGCCCGCGGATTAGGCCTCTGGGATGCCAGTGCTGGGACCCGGGAGGGCAGACTTCAGTTGCCAGATGATGTCACGCACAGGAGCGCTCGTGAGCGAGCTTGGGTCGCCAAGCTCAGATGTAAAATTCCGATGAGCATATTGCTTTTTCTGGTGTTTTTGGGGTGCTCATCAAAGAGGTCAAGTAAAAGTCAGGAAAAGAAGGCGGCCTTTGCCCACGGAATGCCCCGATTTTCATGAACGCCGAACAAGTGCGGAACAGATGGTTGAGAACGCCTGCCACAAGTGGGACGGCTACGCGGCGACCCCCACGCTGTTCTTCTGTGTTGCATTGTATTGCAGCATACGTCAGTGTTGGACGACTCTTTCTTGATTCATGTGCTTTCCACACCGTCCCAAAAAGTTTCAGCCCATGTGGAAGCAAGGCTTTCCTTCTCAGAGTCGAAAATGACTATGCGGGGCTCCATGGTACTCCAGGGGCAGTAGGGGTGTGGGCTTGGGGTTGGACAACTCTTATCGTATGTGCCGTGTGGAAAACGATTTCGGTCAGCGTGTTTGGTGTGGAACGTGTACATGTACCCATACCCTGTCTCCACCCATGTGAAAGCAGCATCTGAATGGTAAAGCGCTGGCACTGTAAAACAGCTTGACATTCTTCTAGAATTCTTGCGAGAACTCTGCGTCCGCAGCCGAAGCAATTTCATGCTTTGCTGGGCTTGAGCGGCAAGCACGTAGGGATTGCCGTCTTCTAGAGTGTGAATCTATGTACTTTATTCCTTCCTAGTCCAGCGTCTGCAGTAGATGGTGTGAATCCTCCTCGCCCACTGAATTGAGTCAACTCCACCCCTTGTAGCGTTCCCATGCTCTGTCCCTGTGTTCACAGCTCAGGCGAACATCTATGCGCCACTTGTGAGTCGTTTCCTCCTTATGAGCATTCCATGTGTGTGCTAATGACAGCCAAAGGATTAGTCAGAGCTTGGTTGGCGGAGCATCATTCGTAGCTTTTGTGCTTTGTACCAGACTTCAAGGTGTGGACCGCAAGGAACTCAAGAGCCTGGCGGAATGGGTGCCTTTGCTGCAGATGAAGCAGCGCTCTACTAAACCTTTATGACGACAGCACAAGCTTGGCTCAAGCGGACGTCAGATGCTGGCTTGCTCCGTTTCAGGTGCAAGAGTTGGCCAGCGTCCCGCTTGTCAGCCATCCAGGCCAAGAGCATCAAGCTACAGAGACCTTCCAGGTGTTCAGATACGCTGTAAGTCACTAGTCAAGACCATCCCCTACTCACTGTCGGTCAGCCCAGCACGAAGACGCAGACCGTTCATTTGGCAAGTCCATATCCCGATGGGCCAGGCCAACACTATGGCTACGGCTACAGCCTCTCTCCCAGGTAATGGCAAGATATGGCAAGTGGGGTAGCTTGAAGCTATGTATTTGGTCTGGCTAGTAGTGTCAGCTGCAGGCAACTTCAGATAGAGATAATGTGGATCGCGGAAAGTTGTAGGTTCAGAATCTTGCCAATAAGTGGGACTGTCCCAGGCTACGACGTGCTCGGGCACCTCATCGAGCTGAAGTCAGGCAAGCATTTGCGGACCTTGTTATCCACCACGACGGAAACAAATTGCTCATGAAGGTCAGCAGCTGGAGGCCTATCTACACGAACGCATCTTGAAGCCATTGGGCATGAGTGCCTCAGCTTGTTCAAAGTGCACGAGGCTAAACAGACTGTGTGGAAGGGTGAAAGGTGGTTTCGAGGGGTTGTGGGGCCAGCTGAGGCGACACCAGCTTCAGCCTTCCGCGCACGGTTTCCAAAACTCGGAGACTGAGCGTTTTGTACAGGTGCTGGTCTGCCGATAAACATGTTGATTGTTGCTACCACGCTTTTGCCATTCACCTTGGCGAAATAGGTACACGAAATCTTCGCACTGGGGTGGGACTGGCAAGAATTTTCGCCTTGTCCGTGTTGATCCACCAAAGCGAGGCGCGCCATTGAATTGAACTCCGTTAGATTCCCCTCCCTTCGGGCCTTGTTTCAGGAGCTAAAAGTCGTTGGTTGGGTCGCTGCAGCCTGCCCTCGGCTGGTGGAGGCACACGAAACTTTGTGATGGAATTCTCATAATACGTACTTCAAAGAGACTGAACTATTGCAGGCCTGTCCAGCCTGGAAGGGGGCCTGCAGCAACCTCAAATACAATTTGGGTTCTGATGCCACAAGCTTGAACGCAGACGGTTTTCTAGCGGCCTGTGCATCGGCATGCGAAGGTTGAGCACGCTGGACGACTATGCCGCTTTGGACTGCATTTCTGTCACTCCTTTGCCAAGGCTTCTGGTCCTGAAGGCAAATCCAGGGTAGTTAGGTACGTTTAAGTGGCTGTCCACATCACACCTTCTTATGCTGCTTTGGTTCTCCATTGCCTGCTCCATTGCAAGCAATCAACATGAAGCTTGGAGCTTGGGTTTGGAATATGTCCACTGCACCCCGTGCACGGTGACCAAGGCCAAATTTCTGTTGGCAGTTGTCCATGGTGGACGACACCCCACTTCGGGTGCACGGTGCCAAGTCTGTCAGAAAGCGATGAATGTAAAATAATGCAAAAGGATGTACCTTCCGTCTGTCTAGAATCTAGACGGCTCTAAGGCTCAGCACTGAAGGAATGCCCATGAACTCTGCTGAACCTTACTTATGGCCCTATAGGCCAATGCCCCACAAAACGCCCGGAATGAGTCTGCCCCTGACCGACCTTGCTGATGTTTTTTGCTGAGCGGCACGGCTTTACCTTTTGGAAGGGCCTTCGGGATCCTACTCAGTAGGGAGCTTCTGTAGTGTCCATCCCCTCCTTATGTCAGCTCTCCAAGGTAAGAATTCTGAGCGAAGCGTCTGCGGAGCTGATGGCCACAGCTTTTTGGGCGCAATTGGAATCCTCATGTGATCCTGGTATGTGGCAACGCAACTTCAAGTGCAGCTCGGAGATTTTCAGTCACGAAGCGACGAGAAGAGAAAGTTCGCCTGCTAATGCTCCACTGATTTGTAAAGCCCTTACCAGCTTCATATCTGGTCGGTCTGTGATGGTTCGTGTAATGCAAAATTTCTGCAGTTGATCATATAAACATAGCAGCTGGGCGTCAAGTCTCAGGATCTTATTGACCAGCTTCGGTCGCCTGGTGGCCGTGGTCCCCCAAGCAGCGCCTGGCCCAGCCTTGCGTCTTAGTGGCATAATTCGAACCAGCGCGATGCAATGGCCCCGGGCTGGGTCAGGACGGCGGAGCAGCACCTACCCAATGTTAACCTCACAATAAGAACCCCCCCTCCCCCCCACCCCCCCCCGGATGTGAACCCGAGCCTCCGTAATTAAGGGTGTCCNNCGGGACCGTGAGCTGGAACTCCAGTTGTCGTAGCCAATAGTAGTACTGGCCAGTAGTAGAAGCACCACTTGCTCTAGAAGACCACGTGCGCCTCCAAAGAGCAAGTGTTTTCCTAATCTTGGGCAACACAGTACTGTCCGAGCGCTTCCAGAATGTTTTGCGTTTTGGCAGGTTGGATTTTGCAATTACGGGGTGGTTTGCAATTACGTTCTGGGATTTGGATTTTGCAGTTACGCGGGGGTTTATTAATATGAGGTGAACATTAACTCTTAAAGTTGCTTTGGATACCGATCTAGATGGAGGGCACAGCATCCTCTCAATTTGCGCAGGGTCTGACATGATGACCCCTGAGGGTCAAGAGACTTAGGATCTGAAATCTAGAATGGTGGCATCATCCATTAGACGTTTTCCAGCGGATCTGTTCCAGACTCCTGATCAGAGTGTTGGA